ACAGCTTCAAACACTGCTCAAAATAATCCATTCGTTGTTATTTTTGGTCCATTGTGATTTTGTGCGGCACCCTCTCTGAACAGAACTTTTGCACACCCAAACATTTATGCACGACGTGTCCAACACGTTTCTTTGATATTTTTAGAGCCTCGGTTATCTCGATCAACTTCACTTTACGGTAATCCACAATTATTTTGTGGACTTTCTTGATGTTTTCGTCGGTAACAGCCCCCTTGCAGCACTGCGTACATCGTCATCGGTGCTCATTTCACCCCGTTTAAACTTAGTAAACCATTTCTCAACGGTTGATTCTCCTGGTTCGAAGTCCAAATAATGTTTATCAAGCCAGGCCTTGGCTTCACTGGTATTGTTTACGCCAAAAAACAATGCTTCAATAACACACGAAATTGCTTTTTATCCATTTCTTTCAAACTGACAAAAGTTGGGTCACTGTAAATGTTCTATCTCACAAACTAATAGTCCGACAGCTGTGAAATTTGCACACGTGTCTGTTGAAGGTTAGAAATAAGTAAAATATATGGATTTGATGCTAGTGGCGCCATCTGTGTGTTAACCTACAAACTTTTCAGCTCACCTAATACTTGTCAGTTTTTAAGTTCCACCATCATAAAAAAATGGCAGGCAAAATGGTATCTCAACAAAATTAATACTGATTGGAATAGATGAGGTGAAGTATTCGACATGTTAAACACCGATCACCAGTTTGATTCATTTTTTAAAGCTTTATCTAAGTTCACAGTGCTTTTGAAAGAAGTAAAGCTTCGATTCTTCCAAATTGTTCAATCAGTGAAAATGAATAAGATTCGTGTTGTCAAAGTGAAACGTCAGTGGAAGATTATATTGAAATTAGTTTATATTGGGAATTTTCACCTTTGACAATCTGTAAAAATGAATAATTGCAAAGAAAATGTTCAAATAGTTGTAACAATTTTAGTTAACCTAGATAAGTAACCATAAGTTTAATGTATCCTTAGCTAGCAAAAGCAGAAAACATTCGTGGACAAAACACTAAAAAAATATGCAAACTGCAAACACGTGTATCTAGCTCATTAGCTGTCATCAATACAGTATAGCCAAGTGCAAGGTTGGTTGCAGAAACAACACAAATGCAAGTAGTCATCAACGCACTTTGTAGTTTCGGTCAGGTCATCACGGGTTAGAGATATTAGTAAAGTCACCACGAGGCAGCTCTAGCTACCTGTGTGAAATTTTTGTTGTTTCTGCAACCAAGTATACCATACTGATGACGGGTAATGAGCTAGAAACACGTATCTGCGGTTTGCATATTTCTTGAATGTTTCGTCCATCATTATTTTTATTATTGTGTAATTACGGATTACGAGGTGTAACATTAGAATGGAATTCCTCTTTTTTGAAACACCGTCGTCGTATTCCAAATTTGATGATGGAAAGAGAAATGAAAATATCTATGTTTTTTACCACTTTTATTAAAAGTGGTAAAAAACATAGAAATTTTCATATCTCTTTTCATTATTATTTCCTACCACATAGTAACGGCTATGTCATCAATGTATTCCAAATATCCAATCTAAAAGGGTTGGTTTCGTCAATTCAAAGAGTAAAGCCATCAATATTGGTGTACCACAAGGAACGATCCTGAGACCTATTTTATTCACATTGTACGATCTGTATAAATTGTTGAAAGGCGTTCATGTAACAATGTATGCAGACGACACGGCATTGATAATTTCATAAAAAAACTAATTTAATATGCAAAAAGATACAGAAAAAGCTCTAGAACTGATGCAGAACTGGTGCAATACAAATTTTGTGAATTTGAACGCTCATCAAACCCAAATCAAGATGAGTGTTGATGTATTTATTGACAGTACAAATAAAACGAATTTTTTTGGACTCTTTGTTGATGAAAATGTGAGCTGGAAAGGTCACTGTACAAACCTAATGAAAAGATTGAATTCTGTATGTTCCAACATATACTGGAAATAACTCAGCTAGTGGCTCTTTACCTTGCACAGGTTGTGTCACGAATTAGGTTTGTGGGGAAATTCCACTTTGGCAAAAAATGTTTTTTCTATACAAAAACGAATAGTAAGAATAATAGCTAGAGGTTCTAGTACACATTCCTGTAGGGATCTTTTTAAATATTTTACAATTTTGACCCTCATGTCTGTCTATATTTATAGATTATCCGTCTATATTTTCAAAAATAGACGGGAGATTTTCACTCCGTAAATATACGCCAAAGAAAAAATTACCACATTCCATTCACAAAATATAAGGTCTCTGAGAATGCACCTACAATTATGGGTCTGTCTATTTACAATCATTTATCTAAAAATATAAAAGAAGCCAAATATTTAAAAAAAATCAGTAGCTTCCCCAAACAATTTCTGACTGAAAAATGTTTCTACTCTTTGGAAGAATATTTTAATGGCTAGTTATATCATATATGTATATGAGTGTAAGTGTATGTATGTTGACTTTCATATATCTTTATTCTAAATATAAATGAATATTACTGGAGTTTTTTCCCAACACCAACTCGTTATTTTTACACCTCGACACGTGTTTCGATCACCAAGTGATCAACTTCAAGAGAAAGATAAAATTGTACTCTGTTTTAGTGCTCTTGCATTATATACTGACCATTCCTATACATTTTATATGTCTTGTGAGAAAATAAATATTATTATTATTGCTATACCGGATTTACTCGGTGATAGTCACCGTATCTAACGAAAAAGCGCCAAGGCTAAACAATATTGTAATTACTTGAACCAATTCGATTCGGGAAAGAATCGATAGTTGGTATCGGATAAAACCTTCCACCTGTTAAACACGAAAAATAATTTACCGTCTTTGTAAGCTCGTTTTCTACGGCACGGCAACAGTTACTAGGCCATGTGCAAATTGTGAACATCCTTCTTCCTCAATCACGTAATTGAATAAAGTCAAGACGATACAAAAAAGAAAATGTATGAGAAATAGTCTAGTAAATTGGCAACAGGATTCCATTATCAGCGTAAAAAAAATTGTTTCACTCACTTTTAAAATAATAATTATTGGCATACATCGAGACTAACTCACTGCTGAAAAAATAGAAAAAGAGATATCTGTCAGAGATATTTGTCATTGGTGAATCATTGAAATACAAGTTGATGAAACACACCTAGAAAGAAGTTAATAGATCAAAACTTAATTTGAAAAACTTTTTTCGTGGGGGACTCAATACTTCTTACTGTTTTTGGATATATAACCTTCCACAATCTGGAAAATAAACAGAGCGCAATTAATGAAAAATCTGCTGAAACATCGCTGTTCTCTGCCTGATACCAAAAGAAAAACACGGTTTCAGAAAAGGAAAATCTACTATAACAGCTTCACTTGATTTTACAATAATATCCTTGAAGGAATTGACAATAGCCGATAATCCATAGGTTTTTTTTGCGATTTAAGTAGAGCTTTGATTGGGTACCCCATGAGGCACTGCTCGATAAGCTCTGGCTGGGTTGAATAAGAGGCACAGCTGCAAAACTGATTTCATCCTATTCGTTGGAAAGCAGTCAGTTTCTTCAAATATCTCAAAATGAGCCAGATAGATCAGTGAGTAGGCATCGTTCAGAAACCGCAAAGCTAGAAGTAGGCGTTCCTCAAGGTAGTGTACTAGCTCCAGTACTGTTCACACAATATAACGTTGTATGCAGATGATTTAGCTTTTTTAGTAGACCGCGATCGCATTCTGATTAATGAGGACGACTGCAATCTGTTACTAGGGAAACTTGGGGAATGGTTATCTACCAATCAACTGTATCTCAATACCGAAAAAACAGAATACGTAATCTTTCATTCTAGACAAAGGACTACAAACAATCAAATATCTTTGAAACTTGAAGATGTAGACATAAACCGAAACATTTCTGTGAAATTTCTAGGATTGACTAATTTATTGAAAATCTCTGAACTTGCTGAAATCCAAGCTGAAAAATGGTTCAATGCGAATCTTCTCAAACTTAATGTGGGAAAAACCCAGAGACTGATATTTTCTCCCAATAATATGATTTTGGAAGGAAAAACAGCCCAATTACTTGGTATAACTTTGGATGACTCCCTTAATTGGACATGTCATATTGATGACTTAAATACGAAATTATCCAAATATCTGTTTCTATTGAGGCAATTCAGAAAATTTGTTTCTAATGACACTCTTCTCGCTCCCTTTTTCCACTCGTTCATTAGCTACGGGACACATCTTTGGGGTAATTCTACTTCTGCTGGAAAGATATTTGTAACACAAAAAAAAGCAATAAGGAAAATTTCTAATGCGGAATATCGGGACACATGTCGTCCATTGTTCAAAAAATTGGGAATCATGACTCTTCCATCGATTTTCATTTTTCAGTCACTGCTGGAGGTACATAAAATTAAGGGCACTCTTTTGACTAACTCCTACGTTCATAACTATGAAACACGTGGTGCTAATCTTATACGACCTGCTAAATTCAATCTACAGAAATCTCCCAAGAATTTCTGGATGTTAATCTATGCAATATCTTGCCAACTACAGTCAAGAACTTATCACAGACACGTTTTAAAAAGGGCATAAAAAATTTCTCGTTGATGAAGGCTTTTATAGCATAGATGAATATGTGGCTGCTTTCTTGGTAATACCCAGATTTATCTTTTAAACGAAAGTGCGTGTAATAATATCTTTCAAACATTTTATTTCATTTTGTTATACAGTGCTGCTTGTAATAATGTATTTTAAAAATTATTGTACCACTTTTGGGTGCGTTGTGTTTTCGTTATACTGTAGTGTTAATGTTTTTATTTTATTTAGGTATTATTCAATTTCAAATGTTTGATTTGTCACCTGACTTGCTACAAATGTTTTATACATATACGTAGTCAAATAAACTATCTATCTATCTATCTATCAAATTGTAAAGAGCAGAAGCATAGGGTTGAAGTACCTATAAAACAACATTAACTTTACTCACGATCAAAGGTAGATGGTAGAAGAGATAGCAAACAATTAGAACCGGGTGTATGGTCTCCAATCCAGTTCTGTTTTCTTCTGGTTTCTCCTTTCCTTGCATTTGTATATTCTGTATCAAACACGGCCTCCTGGAATTGGTAGAACTCACCGTGGTTGACAAATTGGACAGATCCGAATTCCAGTTGATGTCCCTATTGCGGCAAAAACCATTTTGAGTATGGTGCTGGGGTTGGTTAGCATCATAGAAATTATTGTCGATGTTATGGTTAACACGCTGTATGGTGTAAGTGTCGTAATAATTTTTAGTCTGATCATTGTTTAGAGTATTGCCTACGCTCAGATCGCTCAAGTCAGAGTTGGACTTTTTGAGATACTCAAAATTCCTTCTCTTCGCTTTGAAGAAATTGAAGCAGATAATTAAGAAGCTAGAAAACGATATCACAGCCAGGAACAAGTGTAAAACTAATATGAAGACGTTGAATTTTATGTCCAAATTGAACGGCATAAACTTGCATTGGAAATAAGATGATATATTTGCAAAAGCGATGTCAGACTCGTTTTGGCCCAAAATAGCAGCCACGCCTACACAAGCGCATAGAGTGGTCAAACAGAATAAGTGGTAAATAATGTGAGTAGGGGTGAGGAAATGCTTCAGATTCTGTTGTTTTCGGTGCAATCTAACGGAAAACAACCCTATGACAGCAATTGTTGTTAGAGAGCTGGCCTGGAAGGTGTGAATCGAATTGAAAACCCACACCACCACACTGCAGTACTCTAAACTGAAACTCTCAGGGTTTCCCAGTGTATTGATTAGCAGGTAAGAAATGACGGTTATATTTCTGAGGACGGAAAGAACCAAGACCGAAACTATTGGGATGTCGTAAGGGCCCCATTTTTCTCTATTCTTGTGGAAAATGGCGATTGTCCATATGAGGAGAATTGTGATTGTTGGTAACGCTATTATTGTCGCTAGTTGTTCGTTGGAATATCGAATCATTTCAAGTTCCTTGTTCCTGAAACAAAAGAAGCTAGTTAGAAATCTGATATAATTTACCGCAGTATACAGAATCAGCAACTCAGCAAATGAGATTTAATGAAATGAAAGTGATCTGGTGAAAACTTCATTTCTATATTACAAGTAATTCAAGATTTGTCTGATAACAATGTTTTTTTTTCTAGAATATATTAGGCTTCATTTTTTCTATTGGATTGTTGAATGCTCCAGCCACTTTCGAGTGATTCATGGAACTGGTTGTGAGGGGATTCTCGTTGAAGACCTGCCACATCTTCCTGGATGACGAAATCGTAATAGAAACATACAGCGTGGTCCTACGAAAAGTATGCACCTTGCTTTTCTCCTTTTTTTGTAACTCAACGCAAAAATGCTCAGACAAATCAATTTTGCTTTTGAGGGGGACACATTTTAGATGTATTCTTCTACCTGTGCCTTCAACCCCCTAGTGAGGGTGAGTAACAACCATAAAATTTTAAATGGAAAGGGGTCGAGTGATATATCATTTTAAAGGGCACAACATTATCTTTCCATTGATACCTAATTTGTTGTATTTCACTCAAACATGTAGGTATTATGAAGAAAAACAACTACAACCCACTACTTTGAAATGTGTAATTGACTCAGTAGAATCCTACTTCAGCAAGTGCTGAAAATGTGACCCATTTGCTTTCATACAATAATTCAGATTTTGTACAAATCTATTTCTAAAATTCAGTAGCATATCATGTGTTATACTTCTGCACTCTGTTGTAATTCGGGCTGCCTAGCAAAACATTTATTTTTCAAGTGTCCCCAAAGGAAAAAGTCTAAAGGCGATAAATCAGGTGACCTGGCAGGCCATTCGATGGGGATTCTCCTTCCAATCCACCGTCCAGGAAACCGAAAAACTAGTAATTATTAATTGCAATCTATGTATAGCTTTCATGTACGTATACAGGGGAATCAAAGTTGAACTTATTAACAGCAAAAAATATAATAACGATAATGTGGTAACAACGATTATATCGGTAATAATTTTTTTCGATACTATTTTTATAATACGGGTTGTCTTAAGCCTCAAAATATGCCACAATTTCGAAGATTACTTTTTCATCGAAGCTCTGTAGAGTAGGGAGTGTGAGTATATCGAAGCTAAATTTCTTTCTAGCGAGCATTCTCTTGAGGTCCGAGAACAGAAAAAAGTCGTTGGGGACCAGATCTGGAAAATACGGTGGATGCAAAGGTGATTCGAAGCCCACTTCATGTAATTTTACCATCTTTTTCATTTAAATTTCTTTCTAGCGAACATTCTCTTGAGGTCCGAGAACAGAAAAAAGTCGTTGGGGACCAGATCTGGAAAATACGGTGGATGCAAAGGTGATTCGAAGCCCACTTCATGTAATTTTACCATCTTTTTCATTGATTTGTGACACAATACAATGTCTTGCACTTTTTTCTTCAAATGGGGCTGTTTTTCCACGATTTCGTAATTTAAACGCTCCAATAACGCTATGTATTATTCGCTGTTGATGGTTTTTCTCTTTTCAAGATAGTTCATGAATATTATAATAATAATGATAATAATAATGTGTATTCACCATTNATGGTGAATTGTATCGATTTCAATTTGGTTACAAGCTGGCTCAAGGATATAGATCGACCAATAAGTTACTAAACACATAGTGCAGCTGTTAAGGATCACTTGGTTGAGAAGGATTCCTTACGCCTACGTAGATTGTCTAATAAGTGGAAGAACCCAGTGTACATATTTGTTTTCACCAAGAGCAAAAGTCAAAGAAGTGCTGAAACAACTCTGGAGAGAAGTCGAACAAACAGAAGAACCATTGGCATCCAAAGTCTCTTGATAACTGTTTAAGAGATACTACCTTATCAACCACCACAGAGATGTAAATGCAAACGATGCAATTTATGTATATAGAAATATAGTCCAGTTATGAGGGAAAGAGTAAAAATCGACACTGTATGGGTTCAGATTCGTCTTAGATAACCTACCCCAATGGACACGTATACCCGATGTCACTTAACAGACTATTTCTCCAAATGACATGAGATTGTTTCCGTTCTGAATTGAAATATCAATACAATAGCAGAGGCGTTCCACATGTATATAGGATGAAGATTGATTTGGATCTCAAAACTGTACTGCCACGACTGGAGCTAGACATGATGAGGAATCAGGAAGTCATGTATGACGCCACTTCATTCACGAAGGAATGGTAGAAATATCTGAGGACAGTCTAGTGAAATAATTCTAGTTGTTTACTGTTATGGAAGTACTCAGAAGTGTTTCATCTCTGAACGAGCTGTTATCTCATTGAGGGCTGGCTATAGATCACCAACTAAACTTTAACTAGAAGATAAAGTCAGAGTCAAGGGCTGGACTTGCATAGCTAAAATTGTTGGTAGTATACTGAAAAACCTACCCCAAGTATGCTGCTCAATGGGAACTATCAATAATTATTATTATGTTGAATGCTCCAGCCACTTTCGAGTGGTTCATGGAACTAGTTGTGAGGGGATTCTCGTTGAAGACCTGCCACATCTTCCTGGATGACAAAATCGTAATGGAAACATATTTGATTGTCACCTGAAAAATCTCAGGCAATATGCACAAGAATTAAAAATGTTCGGCTGTAACTGAACTGAAATACTGTTGGATATTCCAGAACCACGTTGATTGTGATCTCGATTTGAGTCCTGAATGCCAGCAAATATTTTGTGAATTGAAAAAGAGGCCACCTGTATTTATAGCCTATCTACAGGAAGAAGAAGACATGTTCAACTGAACACTCCACACCAAAACATTGGTACGTTTTTTCATTGTGATAACTGTTGAGACTGCCTCTTCAGTTGATGATGAATTAGAAGAAACGGAGAGACTGAATGACTCAAGTAGTACAACTTTCATGTAGTACACCGCACTAGTTGAAGACATATTTATGGATGTACATTTTTTGATGTACAATATGAAAACTGATGGAAAATGAAGTCACACAGCTCATCGCAAATATGATCGGTATCTCATTGAGAACTCAAACACCATCCAGGGCTATGATGAAAACACTTGTTGAACGTAACACCAGGACTTGAGAATTACATTTTATTGAAGAGGAACTTTATCCAAACCAAGCTGTACTAGTCAATGGATTCATAAAAAAAATCTTCAAGGTTGGCTACGATCCAGTCGCCAGTTGTATTTACCCCACATAAACAATTTCGCATTGTATAACTATTCAAACGTCACAACATTAAGACCGTTTACAAGTCAACTATGCATCACTATCAGATCGGCCAAGGACAAAAGATAACCTATGTCACTTGCTAGGGTTTACAGGATTCCCTCTTCCTGTGGCACATTTTACGTGGGAACTACCATACACATCAACACCAGGATACGATAAGACAAGCGTAGCTGCCGCGTTATATCCGCGGAAAATTCGCTGCTGTCGACTCTAATACAACGCATAACCATTAACGACTTCATAGGAAGGCCATTGAGATCTAAAAGCATTCCAACAATTTCAACAGAAAAGAAGAAGGTATGCGGGTCAATGAAACGTGGTCTCCATTACTCAAGAAGACCAAAAATGGTCTGAAACATAACTCCAAGTAGCACCTTCTGAAATTTTAAATAAGAGTGAACATGGAGCTCATCAGTCAGTCGTTTCTTCGTCTTTGCAGCTAACGCATATACCACTGGAGATATCTTGCCGCAGCAGCAGGCGAACGTTTGGTACTACTAGTTCCATTCGACCACCACCTACCAGCCCTGATTTTGTTCTTTCTTAACAATGTGAATATGATAAATGGTGAATTGTNCTTTGAGACTACTCGTACTGACTTATTACTGTTATTTCAATGATATACAATGGCGAATTTTTTCTAAAATGGAGATTATAAACATGTTGGAAGGGCATTTTAGATTTTGGAAATTCAGAATATTTGAAATTGAAACCATTGATAAACGAATTGCATTAGAATTCAAATGAATTGTTATGCACTCCAGAGATGAGTTTCTCCTTGAGTCGAGATGAGATGTTCAAATGTATGAACAAAACCCAACCAGACCCAACAAACTGATGTTTTTCATGAAAATATTGTCAACCCGATATCTCTTTTTCTGTTCAGTTGATTTAGTTTCATTCCTCCACTTAGTTTTTCAGAAGTTCTTTGTTTGTTTTGGTGTTTTCTAGTGATTAACGTCTCTGAAACGTATCCAAAGCATTCATTATTCCCCATAGATCGTTCTAATTTCGATGGGAAATTTCCACACTTTTCGTCTGATGCAAACAACTATCATAACCACAATTGGAATCAGCAACTAGTTATTGACCTCAGATTTACGTTCTTCAATTATAATCGATGTGAAATAATTATTGATGCAAATAATTACGCTAAGTCTATTAGGAGCTGCACTTTCATATAATTCTAGACAATCACGGCGTAGTATAGGAGTATTAGACAGAATGCATTGTTGATTATTATTACTGGCAGATGAGTTTATTGCTATGATTACAGGAGTAACGATAACGTAAAACCTTCCCATATTGGGTGAAAGTATCCCTACTAACTGATATTTTGATGAAATGGAAAATTCAATGATGTGACAACTCAGCGTTTATCATGTCAACAACTGACAATTTCACCTGAATGATTCCATATGGTAGACACATATTTTCAAGTAGGTTTTTTTGTAACTGCTTCGAATATCTGTATATTGTTCAACTTGAAAGAGAAACACTCTGATTTCTATCTAATGAAAAGTAGGTAACTTTCAGTTATATTTGTTCAAAACAGATGTTTTCCTATGAATATAACATTCCAGTTATGTTGAAGTATCTCGATAATGAATAATCTCACTTTTATATCATTAAAATGCACTGAGACCCCGAAAAAGTCAAATGCAAATGAATATTTCGCAACACAAACATTTTGTTTGGTTGACAAAACCTCAAAAATGGAAGTCCATTTCAATTGATCAAAAATAACAGAGTTTGA